TCTCTCATTCTCTCTCTCAAATAAATAAATAAAATCTTTAAACAAATAAATAAATAATACCCACATCCATCTCAGTAGGGCTCTTGGGATTTATAGTTCACAGAAGATCTTAGCTATAGGTGAAAGCTGAATATATTTTCAACCAGTCAAAGTAAAAGTAAACAAGTCCTTGAATCTCAGCTATTCATTTCTTGTGAAACATTGTTTTTAATATGAAATTAAAAAAAAAACACAACACAATGAACACTTGTGTACCCTCCACCTTGCTTGCAAATAGTTAAAATTCCCTGTGTGTCTCCCTGATGGCATTCTCATCCCCAGCCCCCTAGAGATAACCACTCCCCTGAACTTATTGTTTCCATGTTGGTCTTTATGTTTTCCTACATGTGTATGTGTGTCCCTCAACAAGGCTGATAATGCTTTGCTTATTCTTAAACTTTACATAAGTGGCAACATGCTGCTTATCCTTTTTGGTTCAGTGCTACTTCTAAGATATTTTCATGTTATTACATGTGGCTCTAGATCAGGGTTTGGCAAATCTTTCTATAAATGGCCAGACAGTCAATACTTTAGGCTCTGTAGGTCACAAGGCCCATTGTAACACAAAAGCAGCCATACATAACCTGACTGGGTTCCAAAAGACCTTTATTTTCATATAAGTTTCATCTGTCATGAAATATTCTTCTTTTGATTTTTTTCAACCATTTAAAATGTAAAAGCCATTCTTAGCTTCTGAGCCATACACAAACAGGAGTGGGCTAGATTTGGCCCAAGGACCCAGGATTTGTCAATCTTGCTTTAGATCATTCATTCTTATTGCTATAGAATATTCTGTTCATTTTACATCCTTTAAACACATTCCCAAATATTTACAGGCTCAAGAAATTTAGGAGGCACTGTTTTAGATCAGACACTGGTCCTGCTCTTAAGAAATTTACTGTGTACATAGGCAAGATAAAACATGTTAACCAATAATAAGGTAGAAAGTGATAAAGACCCTAATAGACGTTTGAATGGCCTGCCATGAGAGCTAACAGGAGTGGAGGCAGGAGAGCTCGTTTCATTTTGGCCCAGTGTTTGAGAAAATGGGCTATAGAGCCGGGATGCCTGGGTTCCTATTCTGACTCCACCATTTACTGACCGTGTGACCTTGGACAAGTTACTTTATCTTCTTGTGCCTTGGTTTCCTCATCTGTAAAATGCAGATCATAGTCATGCTTACTGCATAGGTTTGTTATGAAAATGCAATTGTCACAAGAATTAATTTAGTACATGCAAAGCATGTAGAAAGTGCTGGTTCAAAGTAAGCATTACATAAACATTGGTTTTTATTATTCAAGCTGGAAGATCATGGAAGGCTTTGTGGAGGCAGTATGAAATCCGAGTTTTTAAAAGAGGGGAAGGATTAGGACATACAGAAATGGAGAGGAAGGAATTCTAGAAGACAGGGCAGTACCTGGAAAAGCCCAGAGTGGCAAAGGACAAGTGTAGAAAAGTACAAGTGAACCAAGTAAAGGAGAACCAAGAGAAGTGAATTTAGAAAGGAAAGTTATGGCCCGACCATGGAGAGCCTTGAGTTCAAGGCTAAGACATTGGATTTTGTCCTGTAGGTACTGAGGACTGCTTAAGTTTTAGGAACTGGGGTTTGACATGATGCTTCTAGCTCTTGGCAGCTGTGGGAGGCAAGTTTGAGAGGAGTCAGAATTAGGTTACAACTCCAACAGTCCAGGGAATGGGGCCTTCACTGGGGAAAAGGCAGGATGCTTTGGAAATGGACTGGATGTGGAAGACAGGGAGGCATTTTAAAAAGCACCACCATGGCTTTAAGACTGGGTGACTGGGAGGATGGCAATGCCATTGTCTGAAATGGGGAACACAGCTAGAAAGAGAAGGTTTAGGAGGGAGAGTCATGATTTTGGTTTGTAAGCCATGAAGTTTAAGGACTCTGTATGGAATTGTCTAATGGAACCGGAGCTAGGAACAAATATGGTTGGGAATGGGCTGGTGACCTAGACTACATGGTTCGAGTTAATCCTTCCAACAACTTGATGAGATAGGTATGTGATTACCCTCCCTCTATTGTAGAAAGGAAGAAACTGAAACCAGAGAAGTTAAGGCTAACCCCACAGCTCACAATCAACCACCCCACTCAACTGCCACTGCAGCTGGCTTTCTCAGGGCTTCACCCTAGGACAGTCCCTCAGACCCTGCTCAGACTATTTGATGCTCTGGGGAGCTTGGACTATTTACCTTCTTGGCTTTAGCAAGTTGGAAGCAGATGTGAAGGGGGTGGGCATAATGACAGCATGATAAGTGGCAGCTAACAACCAGAAACTTGAAGAAACCATCATGAGAACCCCAAATCATAGCATTCTGGGGACATTTGTTAAGGTGGAATATAGTCCTTCACTCTTCAACAGCCCAAGAGGATTTCTTCATGATAAAGCCCGATATTGCTACCAGTTTGTATTCATAACGAATCAAGAAAATAATAAGTCTATTTCTGGAAGTTCCAGATAGCTAGGAAGTTCCTAATACATCTTTTTTTTTTTTTTTTAAGATTTTATTTATTTGACAGAGAGGGAGAGAGAGGGCGAAGCAGGCTCCCCGCTGAGCAAGGAGCCCAATGTGGGACTCAATCCCAGGACCCCGGGATCATGACCCGGGCCAAAGGCAGCCGCTTAACCGACTGAGCCACCCAGGCATCCCGCTAATACATCTTTAAAAGATTTTCACCTGGTATGGATGATTTCTTATTTTAATGTTATAGGAACAGACTCTCAGCACTCTGGGGGAACTTCTCTTCAAAAGCAGCTTTCCAGATGGCAGAGATTTTGATTCAGTTGTTTCCCCCCCACTGCCTAAAGAGCCCTAGAGGTATGTGGAGGATAGCCTGGGCTGTGTAGCTTTAGGGGACCCTCTGCCAAGATTCCCAGTCCTACTCAGGTAACTTCTTGGTAACTTCTCGTCATGGGTAACTTCTTCCCTTCCTCTCATCTGCCTCCCTGACTTGCTTCTCAGAAAACAGGCAATAAGAGGTAACAGCGTGCTGGGGTCAGAAGGAGAAATAGCATCCACAGCAAACATGAGCACAATCCTCAGTACACAGGGCCCAGTGGAAATAAAGGAATAAAACGCTTGCCCTGGTGCTGACCTGTCAGGTGGTGAGGCCATACCAAATTAGGAATAAAAAGACCAACATCTGTGTCCTAGCTCTGTTGCTTACCTGCTCTGCACTTTCCTGTTTCTATCCCTCTGCCTGGAATGCCAGTGCCTTATGAACATATCCCTCAAGTCCTGGCTTGGGTCTTGAGAGCTCTTTCTGAAACACAAATCTGATTAAGTTACTCCCCCATTTAACACTCTGTAGCTTCTCAGTGCCCAAGCAGGGCCATTCATAAACGCTTTGGTCTCAAGATCCCTTTCCACTCTGAAAAATTATTGAGGATCTTGAAGGGCTTTTTTAAATGCAGTTTGTTCCTTCTGTCAATATTTACCATATTAGAAATTAAAACTGAGAAAGTTCTAAATTTTTATTCATTTAAAAATTACAATAAACTCATTACAGTTAACGTAAGCACATTTTCAATGAAAAATATATTTTCTACAACAAAATGTTAAAGAGTAGCGTCTTACATTTGTGCAAATCTCTTTAACGCCTGGCTTAAAAGAAGACAGCTGGATCCTAAAATCTGTTTCTGCATTTAAGCTGTTGCAATATCATATGTCCTATATTCTATGGAATACGTCACTGTACACTCATGAGAGAATGGGTGGAAAAAAGCAAACCACATTTAGCATTATTCTGAAAATAATTCAGAGCTCACTGACCCCTGAAAGGATCCGAGGGACATTCACGGGTCCCAGAACCACTTGATGAAAACCACTGGCCTACAAGGTGAATTCTAAGGTAGACATACAAGGACATTCAATGTCATTCTAGACCCTATAATACCTCCTCCCAGGTTCTGGCTTCCTTTCCCTGTCTAGCTTCAAGCTGCATCATCACCATATCCATATGTCTCCCATACTCCCGCCACACCACTCACACCAGCCAGCCATACGGTATCATGCCTTTACGCCTTTGCATCCATCCTTCCCTCTGCCTGAAATTAGCTTCCCCCTTGCAGGCTCTTTCAAGAGTCAATTTGAACGTGTTGGACTCTCGGGTGCCTCCTTCGACCCACCCTAACAGAGCTGACCACTCCCTGCAGGCAGAGTACAGGCTTTGAAGTCAAACAGGCTGGAGATCAATCTTCTCCACTCAGTCATTTCCTGGCTGGGTGATCTTGGACAAGTGGTTTCACCCCTCTGCTAAGGATTACCCGCGGTGGACGTGGCGGTTAATCCAGAGGAGTATATCGGAGTGCTAGCGGGCACTGAAAGAATGACCTTTTGTACAGTGCCTGGCACAGAGGGCTCACCGCGTACTTGATGAATCGGGTGGAGCCATGAAGGACCGCGGGAGCTTGTACTTAACTTAGCATTTACTTACCAGGTCCCTGCACGGTCCCATGGGCTTTACAAACATTAACTTAACCTCACAGCAGCCCCTTGGATCAAGTACTATCACGTGAGAGATGAGGGCCCTCAAGGAGAGGAGCGAAGTCACTTGCTCAAGGTCATCCATCACACAGCTGGTCAGCAAAGGGGCGGGGACTCGAGCCCCAGAGCGCCCGCTCTGCGTCAGCTGGGCTGTGGGGCCGAGACCTGACCGCTCTTGGCTCCGCCGTCTCGCCCACGGGCCCCCGCGCCGCCTCGGAGTGGGTGACCGGCGGCGGGACTCGAACCCGAGCTCCGAGCCCTCTCCAGGCCCGAGCCCTCTCCAGGCCTCAGTTTACCCGTCCGGGAGACGCGGCGCGGAGAACCGGGCCGGGCGCGGATCCGGACTCCGGGTGGGAGGCGACGGGGC